CTACTAACTACTAACGTAACGTTACGGGTACGTCTATATAGTTCGTAAATAGTAGACGTACGTAGGTACGTAACTACCTACTACTATTTACCTACTATATATATATATATATATATATATATATATATATGAAAAAATGTTGCGATTAGCCCACTAGCTCATATCTATATATGAGCCCAACGACCCAGATTGATTCTGAGCCAATCTGACAGTCACGATCTCATTTTGTATATAAATTTTAATTTTTTGACCCTTGGAAGGCTAAGCTTAAAAGACCCTTGCGAACAAAAAAAAAAAAATCTCTCCACACTATTAGTGGCCCTCCCTAAGTTCCTATTAGTGGTGAGGTGCTCATAAAGAATGGAAATATATAGAGTGGAGCTCTAGTTAATCATATATTCTCCAAGTATCCTTCCCTAGGACCTAGGTGCCCTTTTTTAACTTTAACGCAAGTTTTGGGGTTCTAAAAACCCTTTGAAAAATAGTTTTGATACATGGACACATACACTTGTGGTATGAAGTATTGTCAATAAGCATGCAAATAAGGGAAAAGTTTTTATGTTTCTCCTACAACATACAAAATGTATACTTCTCCTTTTATCCAGATGTTCAAATTAGATCAAGTGAACCACTAACCATTTAATCTAGATCCAACGCCTCACATAATTTTATTTTTAATTTTTTTTCCTAATAATTATATAAATATAAAATTTGGTACATGCCATCATCTCAATGGGACACACCTAAATATAATATGAAAAAAATATTTTTGTTAAATTACAATGACCAAAATATCCTGAAAAGTTTTTAAGCATTTTAGTCATTTTATTTTATTGAGAATTTTTTTTATATTTTTTATAGGTGCGAGTTCAAGAGAAGATTGGACGCCCAAAGTTTGGTATCAAAATGTTTTGTATAAAAACAATTAAAAATAAAATAGTATAAAAAATGACATTGTGATTGGGGCCATCTAAGCCATTCGTTTAGGGTGGATGGTTGGATAGGGAAAAGTATATAAGTTTTATGCTGTAGAGGAAATATAGAAAGCTTGCCTGCATACAATAATAAAGAAACGTATATGAGACTATTTATTTTTGAACAGATCACAATTAATCTTGACAATTAGATGTAAAATGAGATGGATATATTTATTCCATTGACGAAGCTCAAACTTTAAAAAAAAAAAAGTTTGATGGTTTGTAATTTATTGTGATGAGCTTGTATCAAAGGCATATGGTCGCATGTATACAATTCCAAAGTAAAAACATAGTGTAAGATGGTTTAAGTGAGCACATGATGTGGCTTACGTCACATGTAATGCGCCTTGAGACTGCAACTCAGACAAGGGCGTAATTGGGGTGAATTGGTCCTCTGACCTTGGAGAGTTTTAGAAACTATTTATGTATGCTTTCAAGGAAAATATATGATTGAAATAATCCTAAAGCATGGACTTCTACTCAAATTTATTATTATCCAAACTACTATTGTAAAAGTTACCTGAATAACAATGGGAAATAATAAGCATAAATTAATCAAACCCCTTAAAAAATTGTAGTGAATGGAGACATCTATACAAATAGGCACAGCGATCTAAGGCCATCAATTTTTAAAACCAACCATGTGAATGAGATCTGAGTCCATTACTCAGCATGCAATGAGAAAGAAAAATAATGGAAGTAATCAAGTGACTTACTCGAGCTGGGCCCATAGGCCCGACACCGAGAATTAGGCCCGAGTTAGATCAATGTGTTTGTATACCGACTACTTCTGACTTGAAGAGATGGCATTCAAAGTCCATCAAACATTGTATTTGATACTGATTTTCCTTGATTGATATAGTGGAATTGGCTCAAAAAGAGGGTGAAGTTGCTAAGAGCTGAGAGTCGGGGTTCACTTCTAAGGTTCATCATAGGTTGGTGCATGGAGAGTTTTGAGTTGTTCAGGGTTCAAAGCATGTAGGCTAAGGTTCCTATGGCTTTTAAGTCTCTCTAGGGTTGCCGGCCTGTGAATTAAGGTTAAGGTCTTCTAGGAGGGCAAAATGGTCAAAAGGGATCTAGGTTTCGAGGTTTTGAACTTAAATCACCTCTAAAGGGTTATATATAGACCTATATGGTGTTAGTGCCCAACAAGTGATGGCCAATCTAGGCCATCCATCTGTCTACACCACAACACATGCCGTTTCGCTGGCAACGCGTTTCACATTGCGGTCATGTTGTGGCAGTAGTGAGTAGTGGTTCCTGTTACACGTCTTGTATTACCGTTAATGTGTGAGTTTTTGGGACATTTTTTTATTTTCAACAAGATGATAAGAACAACTTTAATGCAAGGATGAATGGAGAAAAAGTAACATGAGAACGTAATTATAAGAATAAAAGTGACATACAAAATTGCATGAACTATCGAGTGATAGGTACATAGAGAGTTTGCTGAAAAAAAAATGAGTCTCTAGAGGATATATGACATTGTGAGTGATATGTACGAGATAGTGCTAACAAGTGTAAGGACAACTAGTCGAGAGACAAGCTAGTTTTCAATTACAAAATGGGTCAATGTTGAGCTGATATCTCTTTATTTTTATCATGGACGAGTTAACTAGGCATCCACAGGATGATGTTTCACTGTGTGTATTGTTTGCGGATGATATAGTTTTGATTGATGAAACTAGAGACCAGATCAACACAAAGTCAGAACTTCAGAGGGATGTTCTAAAATCTAAAGTATCTGAAGTTCTAGAATCTAAAGATTTTAAGACTAAGATAGAATATATGAAATTCAAGTTTAGTAATAGTAAGACTAGAAACGAGGTAGTAGTTAAGATTGATGGCGAAGAAGTACCTAAATTCGAGTCGATAACCATGCATAGAATTAGAGATAGTGAGCGAAATAGAGATATACTTTTGGCGTTTTATGTGATTGATGCATACCACTGAAATTGAAGGGAGAGTTCCATAGGGCGGTTGTAAGACCATAAATGCTTTATTAAACAAAATGTTGAAACAACATATCCATAGAATGAGTGTAGCTGATATGAGGATGTTGAGACGGAGGGATGGCAAAACAAGAAGGGATACAATTGTCAATGAACGTATCTGAAGGAACTTAAAGATGGCTCCAATAGACGATGATGGATGCTAGACTTAGATAGGCTGGCCATGTACAACGTCGACCTAGAACATCATCGATTAAGAGGGACAATTTCGTTTAAGTGGAAAGCTCTAAAATGGAGAGAAGATAGCCTAAAAGGACATACGTGGGAGTAATGAGAAGAGATACAATGACTTGCAGTCTGATTAAAGGTATGGCTGTTGATATATAGAGCAAAATGGTGGAATAGCATTCGTGCAGCTGACTCCAAATAATTGAGATAAGGTTCGGATGATGATGATAATGATGATTTGATTTTTATGTTCCCAATTTATTTAAAATGATCAATTTATATTTTAGAGTAATTGTGACATAATTAAGGGTGACTAGGAAGATTAATAATGCTTGGTTTAGACTACATAGGAAGGTTTTAAAAAGTCTTATACCGAATTAGGAAGATTTTATAGGCACTTTAGCCTACTTTGGATGGTTTACCTATACTTAAGGCTAATTGGGAAAGATTTTCAAGTGGATGCGGCTAGCTAGGCGAGTTTAGGTTAATTAAGTGAAATTTTCTAATGGTGGGTCATCTTTGTTATTTCAAGATTGTGGAGCATGGAGCATGGAGCATGGAACGAGGTTGGGCTATGGACCATTCAGCCTAGTATGTTCCTTGGTTGGGTTTCAGGCAGGGTTAGGGTATTTTTTGTAGGCACAAATATAGGTTCAAGGTCTGGGTTTGGTTACGAAGGTAACTAGGTATGGGTCCTAAGTTTCTAGGATTTGGTCGTTAGGTATTCCCTTAGGGTGTCTTCATATATCTATATTACATAGAATCCAAAAAGGAATAAGGATTTGGATGTAGAAATAGAATTTTATCCAAGATCAAAGAAGGATTTGAATGAAAGAATTCTAGATTTATTCCTATTCAAATTAGAAGAGGGATAAAATTTTTTTTCCTTATCATCAAGAAACTTTAAGCACCTGTTTGGATTGGAGGAAATTACGAATCTTCGATATTTGAAATTCAAAGAAATCTATGGATTTTCAATATCAAGGATTTTTATCATGGATTCCTCAAATTTCTTGTTTGGATAAACTATACAAAATTTATGGATTCCTTGCAATCACTTCCATGTCCATTGTTTGGTAACAAAACTTGATATAATATCTCTCTCTAAAAAATTTAAGTACTTTATCTCTCTAAAACTCAAAATTTAGGATAATGTATCTATAAAAATTTTGAGATTGTTTCTCTATCGAAAACTTGATATAGTTTGTCTCTCTAAAATTTAATATACTTTCTATTGGAAATTTAAAATTTGAATTTGCCTATCTAAAATTTTTGAGATAATTTCTCTCTCTAAAAATTTTAGGTGCTTTACTCTCTCTCTAAAATTTACTATAGTTTCTCTTTCTAAATTTTAAGATACTCTCCCTCTCTCTAAAACTTAAAACTTGATATAGTTCCCCTCTTCAATAATTGTGAGATAGTTTATCTCTCTAAACATTTTTAAGTAATTTCTCTCTCTAAAATATGATGTAGTTTTTCTCTTAGATTTGAAGATACTTTTTTTCTCTTGGATTTTAAGATACTTTATCATTCTAAAAGCTAAAATTTAAAATAATTTCTCTCTAAAAAATTTACGATAGTTTCTTTTTCTAAAAAAATTTATGCACTTTATGTCTCTAAAATTTGATATAGGTATTCTCTTAAATTTTAATATGCTTTCT